GTTTTCTTTTGTTCGGGAGTATAACCCAGTTGATTTCCATACTTTTGAATTTTTGCCCAAAAAGATGCAATACTTTCACGTGTTCCTTGTTTTAATAAACCTATATCCCCTCTATTCCGCCGTAGGTGGTGAGATTTCGCTGATATAGCAATCGTAAGGCAAATTTTCTTGTACCAGCTCACCTATACGATTTTGCTTTCTTGCTATTCTATCTAACATTCTATTAACCTGATTTCGGCCATTAGTTCGCAACTGATGAAGGTCATCAATAACCAGTTTTTCCACCCCTTCAGCATTTTGCCTTCGTATAATTTCATTATCATGCTCGGCTTCTGCATCACATCGCCTTCGTTGCTCACGGACTAAATCCTGCTGTAATTGATCACGAGCTCGCCTTACTTCTCTTAAATCTCGATGAAGATTGTTATTTTTACACAAATTTGACCAGTTGTTCTTTTGATTTGGTTTGCCAAGATTTCTCTAGCTAATGTTGTATTGTCCACAAACCATTTATAGTCATTTCTAAGTTAATATTAAGTTTACACAAGTCTGGAGAATTCCCTCGTTTTGGCGATTTTTTTCGTGATGAGATGGCACGATCCGGCATCGCAAATTTTCGACCCGCTCTTCAGATTCCAATGACTTCTTTTCTAAGCTAGAGATGTATTTTTCCTTATCTTGCACATCCTTCTTAGCTTGATATAATTGATTTTTTAGGCTGGAGATTTCGGACTTTAGCTCTGATATTTCTTCTTCTAAAGCATTCTCAAGAAGTTCTATCTCCCCATTAGGTGTCTGGATTTCCTGTACACAGCGGTCATAATCACGTTCCAGATCCCTAATCTGTTTCTCATTCTGGCGATTACTATTAACTTCTATCTGTAATTCATTACGAAGATGATAGTTTTCCTCCTCCAGTTCAGCTTTATATTCTTCACATGTTCTTCTCTGTCTTGGATGAGGCCTCCGAAATGTAATTCTTTTTTGTGATTATAAAAGAGGATGGGAGACTCTTTGATTTATATAGATCCTCAAAAAGCGCGTGATCTTGACCAGGATCTTACTTTACAAAAGTATAAGGAAAAAGTATCTCCAACTAATGAGAAGAATTCAACTTCATAGATTTCAGCTCTTTTCTTCCTCCAGCACTTGCTTCTTCAGGTCTTCGATCTCATAGTGCATTTTCTCATTTGCAGTAACCCGCTCCCTATAATCCTTCTTTATATCTAACATAAATTTCTCAAAAGTTCGTCTATTATAATCGAGCAGGTGCTGGGATAGTACTTTAAGCTCATTTATAACCCGACGATTATTCTCTTCATGATCATGCTTTAGCGTCTGATTCGAAGCACCCCTCTGATCCGGCCAGGCGCTATTGTCCGTTTGGACTCCACCATCTATAAAATGTATAGTTGGCAATAGTTTTACGTTTCTTCCTATTTAACGAATTCTCATAATCCTCTAATGTGTGCCTCAAATAAGATTCAATTCGTTCAGACATCTTGGAAATAGATTCTAACGGAACGTCTTTAGAATGGTGTAAGAGTCTCTCACGCTCTTTTGACAAGACTTTAAGGTAGTCTATTAATAATACGCTTATAGTCAGAATGGAACATTTTATTAGATAGTTTTGCGCAAAAAAAAAAA